GGAAGAAAAAAGGAGAAAGTAGAAACAATGTAATACCAAATAGGGCATGCTTAGTTTGTTTATGTGTGTGTTTTAAAAGTATCACATCTTAATTAAATGTACCATCATTCTATAATTTTTTTGTGGCACAGATGTTCTGTGAAATAGCCTTCAGGCCACTTAGACTAAAGGCAACGTGGTCTTTTGTTCTCCTCTAACGGTTGTCACTGCTTTGTGGCTCTTTTTTTTTTTTTTTTGCCCCAGAGTTACAAGAAAAGGTTATGGTTGGCTTCACACTCTTTTTTGAAGGATTGTCCAAGTGTATATCATCTCTTTCCCTTTGGTTGTCAGCATTTGTTTTAATGCATCGCTTCAAAACAGCTTTAAAACATTTGTTTTAATGCGTTTCAGCAAGGCATGTGGGGTAAGGGTAGTGACCATGAGCGCCTTATGTGCTATTTCCAATTCTTTATTTTTCCCACTCTCCACAGCCTCTTTGTCTTGTCCCTTATTTCTTCCCCAACCACTGTGTGCTCTCCTTCTCTTTCCTCACCAGCATGGGCTCTGCCTGTATGAGCCTAAACATCAAGGAGATTTGTAGACCCTTCAGGTTTCAGTATTCCCCGCTCCTGTATGGTAATCTGACCATAGTAATGCCATTCAAAGGAAGAAGAACTTTGTGATGAAATCCATTGAAATGGAAAATGGGGGAGAGATGATGATTCTGTTATTGTTATTTTTGCAAGGGCAACAAATCTGGGTTAGGGCCTTCTCCTACTGGGTTGTTGATGAGCTGCTTACCCATCCTCAAGTCAGCACAAAACTACATTATCCCCATTTTCCAAACTAATTCTGCCTCTTTGCAGTCAGGATTCCATTAAGTGGCAAGCAATTTTCAGAGCAGCAAGGAATGCAGAAAATGTAAGCATGCAATACCCATTAATGCAGTGCTTTACCCCCAAGGGGGTAATTTGGGCATATCCTAGGGGTAATGGAACAATGTGTAGTTGCTTGTTTGTGAGGATCCAGTTTGGGACTGCCACTGTGGAGACACTTGTGTAAAACAACAGAGTCTGTTTTGTTTTGTTTTTGTGGGGGTGATGACATTATTCAGGACAAAGAAAAGGGGTAATTGGGTCAAACAGTTTAAGAACCACTGCATTCATGAGTGATTTTGAGAAATGGATGGCAAATATTACATTATATGCACATGTGTGGGAAGGTAGACATGGAAATAGAGAGTGCTAGATTTCAACTAGAAGTGAATATAAGTTGTTTCGCCCTCAAACTATTCAGTGGCTGTCAACTGTTTGCAATGTTTACCATTTCTGAAATAAAATAAATATTTAGTCCTAATTGTGTTGTTCAAATCTCTGGGGAACTTCAGTCTAGTTTGTGCCTACTTGGGACAATGACCTGTGCTTCAAGTCATTGCAATCACCTGAATTACCTCCAAGGTAACAGGTAACAAAGCTAACAGATTTTACTTTCCTTGAAATGCCCCTGAGAAATGTCAGAATAAGGAGGGAAATGCTTACTTTAATATAGAAAGAACTAAGGATGATTTAAGCCTCTTTTGCTCATATTCTGAGGATGAAATAAAGACAACGTCATGGGGAGATGGCAGAAAACATCTTTTCAGGGCATGTTAGTGCCATGGTTAGGTGCAAATGAAGGAAGGCCCCAATGACTCAGAGAAGGAAGGCAAGCATCAAGGGGGGTGTACCCCTGTGCAGCTTTGAATCTTATGCAAAACAAAATCATGCCAGGATGCCTAGTCACATTTAATAACATTTGTGGGCAATACTATCTTCTTCTGGCACTTTCTTTCAACAGAAATAAAAATAAAATAAATCTCCCCAGCAATATTGGAACTTTGGTACTTTGATGAGTATCCACTTTTTGCCTGAGATAGAGAGGCCATCTGAATTCAGCATCAGAAGGAAGGATAAATATTTTAATAAATGTACAAGATTGTGCACACAACAGTGCTGTCATCACTGTGTGAAAAGGCCCTTGAGGCCCTTGAGCCTAATAAATCCAATGGGATTTATTAGTAACCCTACATCTCTACATGGTAGTAGTATGGCAGTGATCCTCCCTCTTCATTTCATAGGGTTGTTTGTCTATCTCAAATATACAGGGAATCTTTCAGAATTTTGTGGCGTGGGGACATTGCTGGGGAAAATATTATCAGGAAAGGCTTCCTTTTTTCAGTAAAAGACAGAGGAAAACAAAACAAAACAAAAATCCTCTGTTAACTTGTATTTAAAATACCTTAGAATTCTGCTTATCCATCCCTGTGCCACCTTCCTATCTGAGCCAAAGAAATGTATGACATAGGGCATTGAGTAAGCAACTATTTTCCTTACTCAACAGTTGAACTATTCCTTGAAGTTGTCCTACCTTGCTAAATGACTGGAGTTTGGGGAGGCATCATCCTTGAGATAGCAATATCTGATTAACTGAATTTATTGTTATTGCAGACAATTGTTATTAATGAAATGGGTGACAACCAATGCAAAATGATGGTAGCATACAATAGCTAGCAGTTTGCAGCCAGAGGAAATTCAAATATAAAATCACTACAGATGTTTAAATGTTAGGGGCAATTCACACAGCATAACATTGATTTAGCAACTACATTTGCCTAAGATTTATCTGCAGTTAAATCCAGACATATAGACTTATCCTTCATCAAAAAAGTTAATGAAAGTTTGGGGTTCGAGGCTGATAGAAGTAATACTTACCAATTAGTATTCCTATGATGAAAATTATTTAAAAGATAGCTTCATTGACTTTCACTTAAGGGCTGATGGAGATAGAAAGTAACAGATGAGCATCTGGAAGGCTAATTGTATTACAGCTCAAACTAATTGTGTTGTACATGTGTTGAGTTTATCAATTTATAACTCCAATTAACTGTTCTTTTCCCTATAGATACCCCAAATCAGTTATGCTTCAACTGCACCAGAACTAAGTGATGACCGGCGCTACGATTTCTTCTCACGGGTTGTTCCTCCAGACTCCTTCCAGGCACAGGCAATGGTGGACATCGTGAGAGCCCTGGGATGGAACTATGTTTCCACCTTAGCTTCTGAAGGCAGCTATGGTGAAAAAGGCATGGAATCTTTTATACAAATTTCCAGAGAGTCAGGTAGGTGAGGAATAATTCTGTATGTAATAGAACACCATATAGATTATAATTATGATATTTTATTATATAAATACCCCAGAACAAAGTTGTGTGTGTGAATGTGTGTTTCAGAATCAAAGTTTGTTTGTTTAAAAAAACCGTTCTGTGTTTTATAATTTTGTTTCAAAGGTCCTTCAAACTGTTTTTGATTTTTGTAAGAATTTTCAGAACTCATCACTTAGGGGTCTGAGGAACTAAATGGCATTAATACTCTGTTAAGGAAAGATAGAACGGTGAAATTGTATCAAGTTTCTGATGCCCCACTATTAGAAACCTTATATTTTGGAGTGATAGTACAAAGCAAAACTTCAGCATATCGAGTCTTTATCTCTTCAAGTCAGGAGTACTTCTGAAACCAGTAATTTCTTAGATACAAACTTTATGTCAGACAGTTCATGCGTATTTTTCAAGTAGCTTTGCACTTTTTTAATTGGATGGGCTGTCTTCAAGAGGAAATCTCTTGTTTTCTGATTGAGGGATCAAATATTATTAGCTCTGAAGTAGTACTGAAATAGCTACAAGCTTTCACAGAACGTATTTTGGAACCTAAAGATGTTCAAAATTCTGGTGCTTTATAGTCAAGGACTGTTTAGATGTACGTGAAGATACTCTCTCTATACTCCAATTTTTAAAAAATAAATTAATGATTTTTAAATGTTTATGTCTTGGAAATCTTTTGCCTCTTAAGGGATATGCTAAGGAATTCTTCCCACGTTTTACTGAAATGTTCAAGCAAGATTATGTGGCACATTCTGGAATTAGGATACATTCTTTTGCTGATGTGTAGTATAACCTAGATCAGTAAATGTAGGCAAGCTCTCTTCCATCTAAGTTTATCTGCTATTGTGGAGAATCTCACTGATGAATCACTGACAAATTTCCAAACCATCCCAGAATACTTTAGAACACAGTTTGAAAGCCACTAATATAAAAATATCCAGTCTGCTTCTCCACAATAGAATATATCAGCTATTTAATGTTTCTGAAAGAGGTGTTTTCTCAGCATCGTGGAACATTCCAGAAGGCGGGTAAAGGGAAGCTAGTTTTCTGTTAGTTCAAATTCTTAAAATATTTGGTGGATTTACAAAGAAGGACACATGAAGAGAAGTTAATTAAATGAAAGGCTTTGGCCATGGTTGTTTGTTATAGCCTTACTAGCTTGAGAAAACAATATGATACATTTAGATTAAAGTATTCATTGGAATTGGAATTCATTCATTGGAAGAATATTAATGACAATAGTTGAAATAAAAATGAGAACATTCATAGAAATTAATCCAAAGATGGCATTGGTCAGTAAAATATCACAATAACTGTAAAAATATACAAAACACATTAATTATGTTGATGAGGCTGTATATGCATTGTATCATACATGAGATTGTAATAATTTAATGGGGGGGGAAATCAAGCCAGCGTCCTAATATATCTCTCTAGTTTTGCTTGTTCCTTGACCACAGAGAGAACAAATAGACTTACATCAAGTGCAAGAAGCTTCATACAGTGTTGGGTTTCTCCACTATTGGAACAAATACCTTGGTGGTGTTCAGTAGCAGTCTAGATGGGAAGCCACTCACCTGCCCAAATTGGGAAAGAGGACATGCCCAGGTACTTTGATAAAGTCATTGATGGGCCTTAACATATGAAAAGTTGAGAACCACTGCTATACCTTGCTATATCCTGTGGTTGAAAGTCATTCCATTCTTCGTAAATACATCGTTCTCCAGATCCAGGATGGGGAACTTGTGGTCTTCCAAATGTTGCCACAATGTAACATGCAGCATCACTCATCATTGGATTAGTGCTTCTGAAACATTTGGAAAGCCACCGGTTTTCTACTCCTAGCTGAAATACTTTGAAATAAATTATTTTAAATATTTTTTATGCTAAAGACTGTGCTAAAATGAACTAGATTAAGCAAATATATGATATTAGATTAAAAATTACTTTTAAATATTTACCAGCTAGATTTGCTATGCAATGAGGTTTTTTTTTTTTAATCTAAAACATGTCATGTGAAGAATGTGCAATAATAAATTATAGGAAGTATCTGTTTGATATCAGATTAAATAACAAGTCAGATAGCAGCAGAATCTATATTTTTGCAGTCTGCCTATATTATCCATATATTAAACAGCATCTGCATAATTACTAATGCTATAAACCGTCACTGAGTAATTAAAAGTATTCTACTCTTCCATATAATCCATGTAAGAATTGTGGCAGTGCTATGGTTTAAAACAGAGCTCTTTACAAGGAAAATTCTAGGTGCTGGTCTTCAAGAAGATGTTGATACTTGCTTGCATTTTCCTGTTTGTCTGAATGCATATTTATGTAACATTAGAGAAGGAAAATGTCTGGGATTCAGTATCTCAGGATCTGATAGAACTGAAATGTGAGTTAATAATGAAAAATACAAGTTCATCCATTTCCAAAACTAAAATTACAGCTTTTGCATTTCTGGATTGTGCAGATATGTAGCAGTTGCCTACTGATTAAGATAGATAGATAGATAGATAGATGATAGATAGATAGATAGATAGATAGATAGATAGATAGATAGATAGATAAACATCAACATATCCAATAGGTGCTTATAGAAATAACTCAACCATATTTTCAATGTACTAATGGATACATATTAATTTATTTAGATTGCAGGAATGCTGATAATTGTTAGAGCATAAAAACACATCAGAGTTTTTAAAAGACCACCATTACACATTACCTTCCTGTTTAAAATAATTAATCATACAGTTATAGAGCTTAACAGTTTCAAAATGTTTACATTTTATTTTTTTAATTATTTCAGCATCTGCTGGATTCTAATTCATATTCCAAGTTCATGGTTTGATTTTGCTGGGTTTCTTTTTTATATCCATTCCATGATGGATTCATTGTCCTCATTATACTGCCTGGGCTCACACACAGCACTTAGGCCATCTGTTTTTGGTTTCACACCACTTCTGATCTCTCCCATTGTAGCTTAAAACAGACCACTATAGTTTATTCAGCAAAGCACAATTAAATATGTTGGCTTAGTATGATATGTGAACATAGCTACTGTTCCTCTTTTCTGCATATTTTACCATGCTTAATGACTTGGAGATTGGACGTGTACTGTGGAATTGTACACAGTTTCGTCTCACTTCTTATACATAGATACTATTGCTTCCCATCCATGAAATGTTATTCCATCAATCCCTCTCCTTCCAATAGCTTTTTCAACCATGTTGACGAAAGTTATGATACATAGGAAGTAGGATTGTTATGATTTGAAAACACACTTCAAATTTGTTTATAATTAGAGTTTTCATCCAGTCCAGATTGGTATTTTCCAGTGTTTCCTCTGGGTTGGATATAAGGTCACACTTTGGGAATCACACAAATCATGAAATAGAAAGGAAAAAAGTCTATAAGCAAGAAGTGCAAGTGCAAGAGCTGACAGCTGGTACTTAATTGCTGAACTCTGAACTTGCAGATTGAAATGTTGATCTAAAGAATATATGTAGTGCTGCGTATCATCTATGGAGATGAAGGATTTTCATGATGGCCTTTTTTGCTGCCATATTTACTTCTTCTAAGCCTAAAAGACATCTGATCCCCTCTGAACATTCCTGCCAGGATTATTTCCAGAAAGGTATCCTTGATTCAGAAATCCTGATTTGGATTGGGAAAATTTAACAGATTTCTTGCAAAAGGGACCATATCATTCATACATCAGATAATAGATAGAAATCTAACAGTGGCACATCCTGTTTTCTAGGGAATCAAAAGACTATGTGCTGCCCTTTCGTTCAATCTACCTCAAGAGACTTTATGCTATGAACAGGATGGAAGAAAAAAACTGCTCTGTTTTTTGTGGAGTCCTTGAGGTTCTTT